TCGGCTGTGGCGCTCCTTGAGTGCTGTGCTCATCTGCTGGTATATTAGGCGCCACTGACCCTACTCCCTCTCAGTTCCTTCTTGCTGGCAACTCCAACAGTGGGGTAGGGTAATGGAATGGATATGAACAACACATCTCGAAGAACAAGAGTTACGAAAAGGTAGGTAACCGTTTTTTCTTCGAGTGCTTGCTCATGTTGATTCCATTGTAGGTAACTCACAAGCGGTATCCTCGGAGATGGGCTCATAGTTCATGGTCTTGCAGCTTGCAGCACTGCTCTACCGAAGCCAGCATTGTCCCAGGCCTGCTGGGTAAGTGCATAATGGAACGTGAACATGTGGACGGACGACCACGTGGCCACCCTACAGATGTCCTGGATAGGCACCTGGGCTAGGAAAGCTGCCGAAGAGGCTTGCGCCCTTGTTGAATGGGCGGTTACAACTGCCAGAGGGGGCACCTTTGCCTGATTGTAGCAGCAGCGAATGCAGGCAGTGATCCAAGAAGAAATTATTTGAGCAGACACTGGACGAACTTTCATCCTGTCAGCCACCGTGAGTAACAATTGCATTGACTTGTGGAATGCCTTGATCCTTTCAATGTAGAAGGCTAGCACCCTCCTGATGTCTAGGGAATGCAATCTACACTCCTCCTCCAACCTATGTGGCTTTGGAAAAAAGACAGGTAAGTAACTGTCCTGACCCATATGAAACTGAGAGACCACTTTGGGCAGGAAAGCTGGGTGTGGACCTTGTCTTTGTAAAAGACCATATAGAGCAGTTCTGAGGTAAGCACCCTAAATCTCAGAGACCCTGTGGGTCGATGTTATTGCAACCAAGAAAGGAGGAGAGAGCAGGGGGTTCCATGAGTCAAAGGGGGGGGGGTCCCATGAGCTGTGATAGCACAAGATTCAGGTCCAACAGAGGGACGGAGTCCCTGACGTGTGAGTAGAGGTGCTCAAGGCCCTTGAGAAAACTCAGTCATGTCCTGGGTGAAAACTGACCTACCCTCGAGGGGTGGATGGAAGGCCGAGATAGTGGACAAGTGGACTTTAATAGATGAAAGGGACAGGCCTTGGAGCTTGTGATGCAGAAGGTAGTCCAGGATTAACTACAGCGAGGCCCACTTGGGCTGAATGCCTTTATTCGAAGTCCAACAAGCGAACCACTTCCATTGTAGCTAATGTAGTGCCC